TTTTTTGTGTTCTTAAACTTTCTTATGAAAGGCTGCATTTATTTGAACAGAAATACAGTAAAACAGTAATATTGTGAAATATTATTACAATTTGAAAGAACTGTTATCTATCTGAATATATTTTAAAATGCAATTTATTCCTGTGATGCAAAGATTAATTTTCAGCATCATTACTCCATATTTCTTTGAATAAAAATTTCAGTGAACAGCATTTATTTGAAATAGAAATCTTTTGTAACATTATAAATGTCTTGCTGGTACTTTTGATCAAGCATCCTTGCTGAATAAAAGTATTAATTTAATGTTTTGTATTGTTAAAGAACACATGACAATAATTAGTAACTACAGTAAAAAGTAAAAGCAGTCCTAATTTTCACAACTCACCCAAACATGGTGTCTATGATGGATGGCATTGCTTTATAAAAATTGAGACACTGCCTCTCTCTCTCTCTTCCTCTGAAAACAAGGCCCATGTAGACTTTGAAGTTGCATGGAGCAGTATGAGCATCTAGGGAAGTGTTCTGATGCTGCTTTTATATAATGCCTATGAATCTGTGCTTGTTCTGTCAAAAAAAAGCTCTGCAGTTTACTGTGTATTTTCTGTTCACAAATCAAAATCTCATTCTGTTGAGGATATGTGCTGCAATTGTCATTTTTAATTTATTTCTTCAAACTGACTTTTATGTAATAAAAATTAGAGGCACTGGAATTTACAGAGAAGAGTAAAAAGTATTTTGCCTCTTTTGTGTTCAGGACAAGGACTGGGACACAGCTGTCACATTCTTGCCAGCATCGGATAATAAAAAGCTGGAGAAGAAGAGGGGCCCTGGGAAAGTTGGGATCATTGTTGGTCTGGTGATCTTGGCAGCCGTTTTGGCTTTGATCATTGGGCTTCTGGTCTGGCATTTCCACTGTAAGTCAGTACTGCAGCCACAGACAGCATCACATGGTTACCGGTGTCAGTCATGATAGTGCTGATCGTGTGTTTGTTGGTTCATGTCTCCCTGGTGTCTGCAGTCCGGAAAGATTTGAAACTACAGAAGATTTACACAGGCTCGCTTAGGATAACAAATCAAGTTTTTGTGGATGCATATGAAAACCCGGACAGTGCGGAGTTTAAAAACTTGGCAAACCAAGTCATGGATCAGGTGAGAACCAAATTGATTGAAACTAATTTTTTTTTCATAGTAATTATAGTGAAAAGTGTATTTAATTTAGATTTTTTTTATTCATATTTAGCTGAAATCAATGTACTCAGAATCTCCAGAACTGCCAAAATATTACATTGGTTCCAGAGTTCAAGCCTTCAGGTACGTTTACATGTGATTGCCCACATTTTTTAATGTTTTTTGGTCATGTGCCCGCTTTTAAACAAATGGTTAACCCAAAAATGTAAATCGAATCACCTTCAGGCCATCCATGATGTAGATGAATTTGTTCTTTCATTGAAACCAGTAGATCCTTTGCAGTGAATGGGTGCCGTCAGAATGAGTGTCCAAACAGCTGATTAAAAACATCACAATCCACAAGTAATCCACTCCAGTCCGTTTGTGTCTTGTGAAGTGATACGCTGTGCTTGTTCATAATCCATAAATTTGTCCATAAATCCATAATCCATCATAATGCTTGCTCTGGTTAAAAAAAAAAAAAAAAATTTCCATTCCCTGTTTTCCTCTCCCATCAAAATCCACTGATGGACTGGAGTCATGTGGATTATTGTGATGTTTTTATCAGCTGTTTGGACTCTCATTCTGACAGCACCCATTCACTGCAGAGGATCCATTGCTGAGCAAGCGATGTAATGCTACATTTCTCCAAATCTGTTCCGCTGAAGAAACAAATTCATCTACATCCTAGATGGCCTGAGGGCGAGTACATTTTCAGCAATTTTAATCTCAATCTGTCTGTCTGGCTTTCTGCAGTGAGGGCAGTGTAATAGCTTACTATGAGTCAGAGTTTGCTGTTCCAGTGGGACAGGAAGCAGCAGTGGATCGGGCTGTGAGCAGCTTAAGTGAAACATATAGCACCAAAGTTCGCAGAGCTCAACAAGGTCCCCTAGTCTTTGATCACGTTGTGTCTTCAGGTAATACTTTTGGATGGATGAATCTCATTAAAACGTGTCTAGGTCCTATTTTTCTGTAAAATCTAAATTAAACATTATAATTTGCATAAATAAACTTTGGATAAAGAGACTTTTGCATTAAAGGGGTCATATGATGCTTTCTTAAAGATCATTATTTTGTGTATTTGGTGTAACAGAATATGTTGACATGCTTTAATGTTCAAAAAACACATTATTTTTCAAATACTGTACATTATTGTAGGTCCAATATGCCCCGCATCTCTCAAACGCTTAGTTTTCTACAAAGTCCCTCCTTCCGACAAGAGCAGTCTGCTCTGATTGGCCAGCTGAACCAGTGCATTGTGATTGGCCGAACACCACAAGCACACGTCGTAAATGTAACGCCCCTTACCATAATCGCGAGCTTCAAGCTTTCAAAATAAATATCAAGACAGTTAATAATGTCCTTAGTTTTACCATCGTCTCTCTCACACACACACAAGATGCGCAAAACTCCGTATTTGAACAGTCAATTGCAAATACTTAAACTAATAACAAAACATACTTACAGTAGCTGATTCAGAAGCGCCAGATTGTCATAGTAAAGTCAGAATTACCTCCTCTCCTAGGTTCACGAAACGGTCGTCCATAAAATGCATTGCTGTTCTGTTGTAAGTAATTTTAAAGATTCCTAAATGCATCTACTTTCGGAAGGCCACATAAAGTGCTTTTGCTTTCGCCTAGAAACACACAGCGTCTCCTTGACATGGCTGCTTCAACACTAACTGCGGTTACTGAAACCATGCTTTCTTTCTTTGCGTGCACATTTGGGCCGCATTGTGCTAATATTTCCACATAGTGAGGTAGATATGTGGGGGCGTGTTAGAACGAGCCGTTTTAGGGGGGCGTGGCAGAGTCTTAACTTTGATAAAGAATATCTCTTTGGTTTTGAGACTTTAGTCTTTGCAACTTCAGGGATCTTATCTATGCACAATCAGCTTGTAACACTCCAAAGAGAAAGGAAAACGTGAAATCGCATCATATGACCCCTTTAAGAAACTTTGGATTACCAAGATGACGCCGCATTTCACTGCTGGTCATATATTCAATTATTGAACCTTGATTAAAGAAACAAATTTACAAACTTACAAATAGTACAACAATAATCAGATGTATAAATATACTTTAAACAATATATCATTATCTTTTGCATTACAGTAATGAGGGGGAAGTGTGCTTAATTATCATATAAAAATGGCCTAAAAATGAAAAGCAATTTGTTTTTTTTGTTTTTTTCTTGTGTTTGTGGGGTGAAATGTGACCTGGTTCTTGACAGGTTTTGTGAGATTCACCTAGATACCGATTCTAGTTTGCTTGTTATATTATAGAATATGTGAATTCCCATGATACTGAAGCACAGATTGATGTCTTCAGCCTGACAGATTTATAATAACTGTGTCAATCTTTCATTAACAGCTCTGGACACACGTCTGTTCTCAAAAGCCAGGAGTGAGTAGTGTATTACTTATTATCTGTCATATACTCTCTTTTCCAAAACCTAGTGAGCTGCCTCCATAGAAAGCAATTAAAGATATCATAGATGCGCTCCTAACAAAGGCTGTTTCAAAAGGTAAGCTAATTATGCTAAGATAGCATATTTTTGCAAATTTAAGGCAGCATCAGCAATCCCATAATGAACTGCAGCAAGGCAGCAGACATCTTAGAGCCCTATGAATCCATCTTGATTTTTCCCAAATTCTGTTTTATTATTTCCTAAATTCTTGTTTGTTTCATGTTTTCCATTTACATTTTTATGGATTCCATTTAAATAGGTGAATTACATTTGTAAAATTACTAAGGGTGCCTAATCAGTTGAATTTATAAAACTATTTAATAATGTATTAAAATGAATAATAATAGTGACCTAAGAAATGTTTCATTTTTCAGAAATTGTGTTGTTTCTTTTGATTTTTCTGTATTCTGTGTTGTTTTAATTTATTTAATACCATTTTTTTATCAAAAACTGTGGTAATCAAATAAATGCACACAACATTAGCAATGGAATTACTCTATTAAAATGTTATCAAATGAAATTTGAACAGTTCCTTTAAATTTTTTTTGGGCAAAAGTGCTGCCTTGACAGGATTACTGTTTAAAGTAAAACATCATTGAAAAGTTATAATATTCCTTAATAAATAAGCTGCATTGTTGTTGTTATTACTTTGGGAGCTCAATTCTATCGTACAATAGTAATAGATTTCTGTCATCATTTCTTCAGCTTAAATTTTTATTTTGGTGGTTGTGTATCTGATGGTAGTTTTATCAAATGAAATGCTGAAATACTCATAAGGGGAACTCTCTCATTTTGCCAGATATACAGTAAATTCCACTTTTATGACCAAATTCCGCATTTTCTTGTCATGTAGTGAGACCAAAGTTCAGTAGGTTTTGGAACAGGACTGTATTCCCTAAGCAAATTCAAACTCATTAATATACCATGTATCCAATAATAAATGTGTAAGATTAACCTTTTGTTTTCTGTATGTCCAGCAAGTACGAGATTCGCCCAGCACGCCAGGAGTTCTGCTGAAGAGACCATTAAATCACCGGGTTTCCCTGACCAACCTTACACTCCAAACTCCTTTGTGCAGTGGCAGCTCCGGGGAGATCCAGGCCACGTGCTGAAGTTGTCTTTTGACACCTTCTACCTGGAAAAAAACTGTACAAATGACTTTGTGAGAGTGTATGACTCGTTGGTCACCATGGACAAACACCTTATGGCAGAGTGAGTTGTGTTTGTGGATGTAGCACCATCTGGTGGCTGTAAATGCAACTGTAAGGAATTTTAATGCAAGTTTCTTTCTCTCTTAAACAGGAAGTGTGGCTTTTATTCTCCCAGTAATCCCTTAACCTTCATCTCGTCCCGGAATGTTATGTTGGTCACCTTTGTAACCAACGAAGAAGGGAATTTTCCTGGTTTCAGAGCCCGTGTCACTCAGTTCAGTCGAGATAGCGGCGGTAAAAATGAATCCTGGCTGGCTGAACAAAAACATACTTGGCTGATTAATAGTCCAGCGTGCTTTACTCTGAAATTTTGAGTCTCTCTCACTGGTTCTCCCCTTTTAACAGAACTTGCATGTGGTGGTAAATTGAGTGGATCCTCTGGTAGTTTTAAATCACCCAACTTTCCCAGTTATTACCCACCCAGCACCACATGTCAGTGGGACATCGAGGTAAGACAGAGACACGCATTTTGAACCAGTTATTGTCATGATTAACCACTTTTATAACAGTGTTATATCCATCTCTATTGTTTAAAGGTTCCTAATAGCAAATTCATCAAGTTGAAGTTCCCCAAGTTCATGGTTTCTACAGGGAGTCCGAATTGCCCAGGAGATAATGTGCAGATTGTTGGTAAAAGGTCAGTAAATTTAAAACTGTAAAACAGTAATTTATTTTTTAGACATTTCACAGAATTGACTCTTGTTACAACAGTTAGTTCTGGTCCTTCAGTCAAACTGGGTGATGTTCCTCCAAGAGCGCTGATAAAGCGTATGACAGCATTGGACTTTTCACTTTTGGATATTCCTCTATTTTTATCCTTTTAAAAAAACATGCCTAAATATCTTTATATCATTTATTTTGAGAAGAAAAGGTTACACAAGAAAGGGTTTGTCTTCAGAAAAATCTAATAAAATTTAGTTAGATTTATGCTTGAAACAAGAAAAAAAAACTTTGGTTTAAGAAACTTAAATTAACAAGAATATAAGTTTTTTTATTTTTTTATTTCTCTGCTTCTCAAGTAAAAGTATCTTGTTTAAAGGACATTATATATTTTACTGGAGAACAAGATGGAAATATTCAGTAAGAATATGTGAGTGGTTCGGAGGTTGTCATTTTAGAGCACATAAATACTGAGATATTTATTGTATATATTTAAAAGGCTGAAAACTATAGTGTAATTTTCCCTCTCAGATGAAACATAAATAAATCACTAAATCTGACTAATAGCAGTATAGTCACGTTTTATTTAAAAGTAGTGTACAGTACACTTGTTATAGAAACCCAGTCTGGGTTTAAACATTTTGTTCAAGGACATGATGGTGAAGGCTCACAATCAATTATTGTTTGAGTGTGTGTGTGTGTGTTTTATTATTGCATAAAGGATACAACTGACAACATCAGTTTATGATATTTGTCACTTTTACAGCTTTCCCAACTTATAGTCGTCTAAAGCAGAGATAATTTATCTTGGAATCACGTCACGAGTTCTTAATGTTAATAGCAATTCAGTGTATCTCTTTAAATTATTTTCAATTTCAGCACAAAAACAGCTGTTCACAAAGAATCGAAGAAGTCACAACAATCACAAAAGCTCATACAACATTCATTCACTAACAAAAATGCATTTGGCTCAATAGGGGTTATACATTCAAATCACTTGGTCCAGTAATTAAAAAATGTATCTCTCTGAAAGTTCACATGAAATGCAATTTTCTCCATGGTGAATATTTTTTAAAACTTCAGTTCAATCTTGTATTTGTGGAGGATTAGGTTTATACCAACACCTAGTTAGAATTATTATTTTTTTGATCGTCTACTGTGGTGTTTGAACCTACAACCTTTAAGTTCCCCAGCCCAGATCTTGAACCACCAGTGCTTGTAATCATTTAGTTGGAGGTTTCATATGCACGCTTGTTTGTTTCTTTGCAGCACATTGTGTGGGCAGCAGCCTGCTAATACCATGGTTACAGTCAACAGTAACCAGGTGTCGGTTGTGTTCAAATCGGATTCATCACAAGTAGATCGAGGTTTCAGCGCCACTTATGAGGTCTTTGAGCCCTCTGACCGTAAGTAAAGACATAAAAAATGGTTCATAAGTAAAAACTAGCAAGAATGGGTCAAACCTTTCACTATTGTACTGTAGTAGCAGTCTGGCCTGAGGTGGAAAAAAATAGACTAATTGATGCCAGTTTTTAAAGTGGTGTCAGTGTGAACATTAAAAAGTAAATTCAGTTTCTGAATCTCTCAGCCTGCCCGGACCAGTTCCAGTGTAACAACAAACGCTGTATAGACCCATCCTTGCGCTGTGACGGCTGGAACGATTGTGGTGATGGCACAGAAGAGAAGAACTGCAGTAAGTGCTTAAATTCACACACAGAATTTGCTCTCTGAATATGAATTCGAGTTCAGATATAGAGTGTTTGAATGTGGATTTCAGAATGTGACGCCAGCATGATCCAGTGCAGAAACGAGGTCTGTAAGCCGATGTTCTGGCGGTGTGATGGCGTAAATGACTGTGGAGATGACACAGATGAACTTAATTGTGGTAGGACCCTTTTCTGCTTTCCTTTCTCTCCTGTCTTTTCTTTCAGTTTACCCTCTATTATGCATCCAAATGTGAGAAATACTGCCTCCACAGGCATTATAGGGAAAAGGCATGAACACCCAGGTGAATTCATTGGTTCTGTAACATTCAATATACAAGACAGCATAGATGTATTATTTATAGGCTTTTTTAAATATTCATCACTATTTTTACCAAGAAATCAGTATTTTATTCACTTAGATTTCTAGTTTAATCAGGGGGACCGTGAAGAATATATCAAGCATTAGGGATGTAACTGAAGTCAGACCATTCTGTTTTTGCTTCAGATTTCGAAATTATACAATCTAATTTAGATTAAAAACTGCTCATGTTGCATGTATGCAGCATCTTTGTTGATTTTAATCATGATTAAAATGCAGTGGTTGCCTCTAATTTTAAATGGAAAGAGCTCAGACAAAGCTAATTTTGTTTATATGAAGAGATTTCTTTTATTTGTGTTACTTATTTATTTGATTTGGGGCTTGTTTTAAAATTTCAATTTAGTTTTGTTATTTACATTTACATTATATTTAAATTTTGTTATTTAGCAGACACTTTTATCCAAAGCGACTTACAAATGAGGACAATAGAAACAATCAAAACCAACAAAACAAAAGAGCAATAATATACAAGTGCTATATTAGTATATTATTATAGTGTTATATTCCAATTTCACAAAGAAACATGCAGCATTTTGTCCAAGCAATAATAAAAGTACACATTTAATTTATAATTTGTCTTAAATCTCATTTTGTAAAAAAAAAAAAAATCGTGAGTTGAGTGAATCGTTACATCCCTATCAAGCATATAAAATTTGAAATTAGTTAACAATGCCATTATTCTATTTGAGTTCTATTATTTTCTAGAATTACCTGTTTTAATAATGCAGTAATGTTAGTTAACTCTGTAAAGCCTGCAATATGAAATAATAGTTAGATAAAGGCTTTTACAGATCATATACAGAGGTTTACATTAGTTTTATTCAGAAGCACAAAATGAGCAAAATTGCTGATATTTAAACGCCAAAAATGAAATTTTAATATCTTGTCATGTAAATCAATGAGCTCTTTATAGCAGCGTGATCAACTACTTGTGTAAAGTGCTTAGGAAAATCATTTGTCACTCTGTAATAATATGTCTTGATATGATATGATATTTAATATGATATCTATGATATTTAAATGCTTAGTTTTTTATTGTAGGGGGCAAAACATATAATGCGACCGATACAAAACAGTGATGACTGAGGGATAAACATTTCTCAAAAGTCTAATGTAGGCTATCATATTTGATACTCACATTTTAAATGGAATTTTCAAAAAAAAATTGCATAATGATAATCAAGTAAACCTTAAGAAGCTTCTATCCAGTA